AAAAAGCGTTACTTTAACGTGGGGGGGGGAGTGGGGGGGGGGGGAAGGGGGCCACACGCGGGGATGGAGGAGGAGGAGGAGGGAGGGAGGAGAGTAGGAGGAGGAGGAGGAGGAGGAAGGTGGAGTAGGAGGAGGGAAGGAGGAGGAGGAGGAGGAGGAGGGAGGATAGGGGAGGAGGAGGAGGAGGAGGAGGAGGAGGAGGAGGAGGGGGGTATGGCCCAGAGGGCAAAAAAACGAAGGCGCCCTCCACCAAAGGGCCGCTCCGGCGGAGAGCCACGCCCTCGCGCTGCTGCGGCCGACCTCCTGCCCCCACGGCGGGGGGGGGGGCCGCCGGGGCCCGGAGGCGCCGACGGGGCGGCGAGGAGGGGCCACGCGCAGCGGGGGGCGCCGGGGGCAGATCGGGAGCGGCCAAGAGGGGGGTGTCCAAGGCGTGTGGGTCACTTTACAACCAGAAGCGCACTTTACAACCAGATGGGTCACTTTACAACCAGCTTACAAAATCCGAAAAGGGCACTTTACAACCAGGAAGGGCACTTTACAACCAGGCAAGCAAAAACACAGATTGAATGCACGCGGGCCTTTCCCTGAAATCTCCGTGGGCAAGCGCCAGGGTGGCTTTGGGCTCTTTGAGGCATGTTGGTTGTGTAGTTGCCCATCACGCACGAAGAAGCACTGCGCACTCGTTGGCGATGCGGCGACCTGGTGCGCTATGGAATGTTGCGTGCTGGTGGGCGGATTAGGGTTTGGACCTGCTCTCTAAGCTCTGTCGGTCAGTTCTGCCATTGCTTGCTCTGCCTTTTTCTGACGGACGAAGGCTAGTCGCGCAGGACATACGAATAAACCATGATCCCGTCCAAGACTGGAGCTGCATGGCAGCGGGAAGCTGTAGTGGGAGATGGGGTGGTAGCGGGGGCTACAATGGGAACTGCATGGTGTTGGGAAGCTGCGGTGGCAACTGTGGTGGTCGCCAGGCAGCGGTGGGAACTGTGGTGGTAGCTGGGCTGCAATGGGATTTGCGGTGGTAGCGGGGGGTCAGTCGGAATTGTGGAGGTAGCGGGGCTGCAGCGATAAGCGTGGTGGTATCAGGCACAAAGGTGGCGGTGATGCGCTGTCACGGTGGCTCAGGCTGCTGCGCTGGCACGGTGCCTGAGGCTGCTGCCCGAGCAGGATACCTGCGTTGCTGCGCTGGCACTGTGGCTGACGCTGGAAGAAACGATCTTCGAAATAGTTGCATTTATTCGGAACGTTGAACCTCGATCTTCCAAGAAGAGGAGCAGCAGGGGGCCAACTGGAGCTGGAGCACTTCGCCCCTTGCAGAACACCGTGGGGCTTCAGGGGCCAACGTGGCCCAAGAGACCCGCGGTGCCAATGGCCTAGTTCCCTGGGGCGCTGGGCCCTTGTGGAGGCCACTGGGCTCGCTTCCTGTGAGTGATCCCTAAAATGGGCAGCGCGTCGCCCTGGGCCTTCCTACGTATGCTGTCGCCTTATTCCCGTGCGAGCACGGGGCCCTTGTTGAGGCCGCTTGGCCCCTGCTAGCAAGCCCTGTCTTAGTCTGCTGGGCTCAGAGCGCCAGAGCGTCCAGGCGCTCGGGCTCAGAGGCATCGCTGGGGCCTGCTCAGAGCGTCCAGGCGCTCGGGCTCAGAGGCATCGCTGGGGCCTGCGCAGAGCGTCCAGGTCCTCGGGCTCAGAGGCATCGCTGGGGCCTGCGCAGAGCGTCCAGGTCCTCGGGCTCAGAGGCATCGCTGGGGCCTGCGCAGGGCGTTCAGGCGCTCGGGCTCAGAGGCATCGCTGGGGCCTGCGCAGAGAGTTCAGGCGCTCAGGCTCCAGCGCGCCCACGTGCTCTGGAGCACTTTTCAAAGCGTCCGCGCGCCCTGGAGCACTTTTAAGAGCGCCCGCTTGCTCTGGAGCATTTTTCAGAGCGCCCACTTGCTCTGGGGCATTTTTCAGAGCGCCCACTTGCTCTGGAGCACTTTGCGGAACGCCCAAACACGCACGACCACTCTGAGCTGGTTGTAAAGTGGTCCGCTCTGGTTGTAAAGTGGCCCGTTCTGGTTGTAAAGTGGTCCGCTCTGGTTGTAAAGTGGGCCGCTCTGGTTGCAAAGTGGACGTTCTCGGTGAAAAACCATACTTTCCAATCCTGTGTTGGTTGTAAAGTAACCCATATGGTTGTAAAGTGGTTGTTCTGGTTGTAAAGAGATCGAATCTCGGTGTCCAAGAGGAGGGGGTGCAAGTCATGACCGGCGGCATGTGCGCGGCCCCGCGGGGGGGCCAGGGACGTCATGGAACAAGAAGAGGCGCCATGAAGTCTGGGGGAATATCATGGCCCACGCCATGATCTCCCCCCCCCCTAGTCATCCCCCCCCTCGTTGCCGCCCCCGAGCAGAGGGAAGGCTTCTTGGAAGCACCCCTGCCCCTCGTGAGGATAGAAGGCCTGGACCTGGACTGCATATGTACAGTCGACCCGTATCCAGGAGGACGCACGGTGAGGATGCCAGGGCCATGGGAGGCCGTCTCGAAGCTTCTCGAGCGGGGCGCGGACAGCGGGCAGCAAGAGCGGCCAAGGATGGACCGAGGAGGGAAGGCTGCAAGGCGGGTGCCCTTGAGCCGGTTGCCCGTCCTTGCCGTGTGGGTCGACTGCAAGGCCGGCGCCTTCTGCGGAGCAGCCTCCTTCGAAGGAGCCGTCCCCCCTCCGCCTGCCCCCCTCTGCGCTCCCCGCCACGAGGAGGGAGACACTGGCCATCGCCCGGACGTCCATTCCCCGTGCTTTCTTCGGTCTCGTGCGTGGCTTTTTCGCCGAAGGATCACAAGGATGCTCCTCGCTGGCCCTCGCCGAAAAAAGGCACACGCCCGAGCGATGCCAGGGGAGAGACCTCCCGCCCGCCGCGGCGCCTGGGCCGCGCGCCCGGCGCGAGCGCGAGGCCGGGGCGGCCCTGCCTGGCGGCCGGCCCATGGCCGGCCCCCCCACCTCGGGGGGGGCCAGGAGCTGCCCCCAGACATGCTCGCGCCGGCGAGTAGAGAGAGCCTCCGGGCGGAGGCCTCGCTCGTCGCTCTCGGCCTCGGCCGGGCCCCTGGACGGCCTCGGGATGGAGACGCAGGCCTCGGCCCACACCCCCGACGTCATGGCTTTTTCATGACGTCGACCCCGAGGTCTGGACCCATTCCCGGGGACCAGATGTTCGTCCCAAGTCGGTCTTGGACGCTCCCGAGGGCCGGCAAAGGGCCCCCCGAGGCCGAAAAAGCATCGAGGAACCTTCCGCCTTGAGTTCTTCATCACTCGAGGGGGTCTGGGGGGGAGGGGAGGGTCTGGGACTTCCGGGGGCCGCGTGCAGAAGGCATCCGGGCATCGCATGTCTGGGCCCCCGGCCCGAGGAGCCCCCAGCTTCTCTATGCCCTCTTGGAGAGCCTGCAGGCCTGGGCTCCTCCTCCTCCTCCTCCTCCTTTCACGTTTTCCTCCGCCTCCTCGTCCTCGTCCTCGTCCTCGTCCTCCTCCTCCTCCTCCTCCTCCTCCTCCTCCTCCTCCTCGTCCTCGTCCTCGTCCTCGTCCTCCTCCTCCTCCTCCTCCTCCTCCTCCTCGTCCTCGTCCTCGTCCTCCTCCTCGTCCTCTCCTCCTCCTCCTCCTCCGCCTTCCCTCCTCCTCCTCCTCCTCCTCCTCCTCCTCCTCCTCCTCCTCCTCCTCCTCCTCCTCCTCCTCCTCCTCCTCCTCCTCCCCATCCTCCTACCCATCATCCTACCCCGCGGCCATTTTGGTTCAAGTGAGCCCGCGCTTCGGGAGGCCCTCGCCAGTGCGCCTGCATCAGGCGCAGGCGTGCAAGCGGCCAAGATGGCGGATGCCGACATCGTCAAGAAGAATGCTGGTCGCCGCTGGGCTGCCGCGAGCACCCGCACACTCGCCCGCAGACGGCGGCGTGAATGACGACATGAACTGGGAGCACCACGCGCGCAAGCGCCGCAGCGCCTCACGGCTTCCTTCCGTGCGGGCGTGACTGCCCTTTGAGGCCTGCGTGACTCACCCGGCGGCCATTACAGTCGGCCCGTACCAGAAGGATGCGCGATGAGCATGCAAGGGCCTCGGACACCCATTTCGAAGCTTTTCCAGCGGGGCGCGGCCAACGAAAGTGGCCACGGATGGGCCGAGGGGGCGAGGATGCAGGGGTACCCTTGGGAAGGTCGCCCGTCCTTGCGATGCGGGTGGACTGTACCCCACGACGCGGACAGACCCTCGCAGCCGCGGGGCTCGTTGGGGCAGGCACGCCCGGAGCTCAGGGCGCTTGCAGCAGCCGCCTGCGCGGACAGCACCTCAACGAGGCACGCGCCGCTGCATGAAGTGTGGCCCCAGGCTGCAGCCCAGACGGAAGCCCGCGAACTTCGAGCAGCTCAGGGCCGGCTCCGAGGGCCCTGTCATGGACGAGCTGCTGGACGCCTTGAACCCCTTCATGCAGACCGTGGATCCAGAGCCTGATGTACTGGGTGACCCAGTGAAAGAAGTGCTAGATGAACATCCGTCTGCCGGAAAGGACCCCTTCGGAAAAGATGACTCGGATGTGCTACATTGTCCTGCTGCTGATCCGTAATGATGGCGGCGATCGGCCTCAAGCAGGACATGAGCTCCCAGAAGTACACCATGAACCTCCACCTGCCGACTCACGCGACGACGGGGACGTGATGGAGCTCGGATCTGATGCTCGCTGTACTGCGGGAGTGCAAAGGCCATACTGAGCGTTGTTGAAACTCGAGTTCTGCAAGCTGAAGCTGAACGAGAAGAGGAAGGAGTGCGAGCACAAGGCCAATCAGCATCTGGATGCCGCGCGTCTTGATGCGCGGGATCAGAAACATGCCAGCCTGAAGCCAGAGATGTACGAACTGAAGGCAAACAAGAATCAGCTGGACGAGAGCTTGGAATGCACGCGCCTGGACCCGAAACCGGGAAGTTGGCGCTGAACGGGAAGCAGGAGGAGTGCGAGCACATCGCCCCGCAGCTTGAGGGCCGATAGACACCTCAGGACACTCGGCCCGGAGCACACCAGCCTGAAGCAGGATGGTATCGAGCTGAAGACCGCCAGGCATCTGCTGGATGTGAGCTTGACGCGCATGCGCCTGGACTTTCACATCGCGAGGGTGCAGCTGAGCGGGGAGAGGGACCGGTGTGAGCACATGGCCACGCAACTCTTGGAGGCCGATGGACACTCCAGGGCGCTGGAACAGACGCACGCCGGCCTGACGCAGGAGGAGATCGAGCTGAGGACCGGATATAGTCTGAACGGGAAGAGCTTGATGCAAGCGCACCTCGTCCTCGACATCGCGAAGCTGGAGCTAAACGGGGAAAAGGAGAAGTGCGAGCAGCAGCTCAGGAAACTGGAGTTCGCGAAGCTGGAGCTGAACGAGACGAGGAATGAGTACGAGCTGAAGTGCAACGAGCTCTTGGAGGCGAAGGAACACCTCGCCGCGCTGGGCTTGGAGAGTGCACAAATCGTCTACGACTTCAATGGGCTGCGCGGTGCGCGCTCGGAGTACTCAATGAAACTTGAGGCAGAGCTGGCGCTAAGCAAGAAGGAGAAGGAGGACGACAGGGTGCACGACCTGTGCCAGGAGTGCCTCGGCACCCGCCCGTCACGCAGGCGACCTTGAAGCAGCTCGCCCCGCCCCTCGAGGGCCGAGATTTGTTTGGGTGTTTATGCACGAAAAAACGTGATTCCTGCTGGAGGGCGGTGCCGCGCACCCGCCGCGCCGCTCCGCGCTGTGCCCTAGGTCGCTGCAGGGACGGCAGCTTGGCAGATGGCACAGGTTGGCGCGGGGGCATGCCCGTTGGGTGTTCGCCTCTCCTTCCCGGCACTCCTGCACCTTTGGGTCCAGTCGTGTGTGTGGGGGGGGGGGGGGGGGGCTGCTGAAACCCGTGGCGCGCCCATGGTGGCTCCTGCTATCAAGCCCGCATGACGCGTCCAGTCCCAGTCCCTCCAAAAAGCGAACTCCCCTGGAAAGACAGAGTCCCGCCGCGCGCGGGCGTCCTGCGTGCCGCATCTAGTGCAGCACCTCGAGCTTGGGCCAGGCTTTCAAGCCTGGAGGTAAACGACCTTGCGCCAACCTTGGAGGCTCGCAGACTGATTTTAATTTACTACGGGCCCGAATATACCAACCCCCGCAACGGCTACACCAGCAGATACCGTCGGTGACTTTCAAAAGGGGTTGATGGGACGGGTGCGCCGCTAAGACGTGGGGCCTGCAGGGTCTCTTTAACCATGTGGGCATCCGAATTTTGACACTACCTTGCTTCTTACACCTGAGGCAAGCAATATTGAAATTGGGGGCGACAGGGACAGCTAAAAGACAGTGTGAGGTATTTAGAAGGGCATCCTGAAGGGCCTGTACACTTCTAAGGGCTCTCACTCTCCGGCGCTCCTCCTTCGACTCCTCGCCCTCCTGGGGGAACTGATCCTTGGATTCCCAGTAGTGGGTCTGGATTGCCGAGAGGCGGTCGCAAATCATGTCGGCGCGGATGTCTGCCCCCTGGATCTGGCGCACAAGCGAGGGGGGTACTCTTCGTCGACGGGCAGCGCACCTGGCGATATCATCCACTTGCTCATTCACATAGAGCGCCCACGGCGGCTCCTTGGCCGCCTCCTCCTCCTCCGTCGGGTGACCTTTGACCTTCTGGAAAAAGAGCTGAGCAGCGCGGGCTGAGGCATACGCCCAAAACTTCTTCCAAGCCTGACCATGATCTCTGCCTGGAAGGTCGCCCGCAAGCCGATGTGCGGCTTCCAGGGGCTGGCGAGGTCGGTCTCTACCCTGAAATATTATCCAAAGAAACTGCTGATGACGAAGAAGTCGATGAGCCTACCTCCCGAACGTGTACTGTGGACCTCTGGAGCCTTAATGGTGCCCTCGATCCTGGAGACCCAGGGGTTCCCGTTGGTGAGCTCCTCAGGGGTCATGTTGAAATCCCCTCCGATGACGAAGGGGAGCTTGAGCTGCTTGAGGAATATGGTGATCTCTCGAACCACCTTGTTGTTGAAAGCATTGTAGCCTGCCCCCGACTGCAAGTAGACTGAGATAAGAACTAGATTGCGCCGATTCAGACGGACTATACAGGCTGTCCAATCAGTCCCTTCCACTAATGCTTTGGCCTGTCCCTTCCCGTTCATGATGCGCGCATGCGAATGAAACTGCTTTGACACGAATAGCCCAACACCGCCTGAGCTGCCTGCAGGGGTGTGAGCTGCTGGACGCTGATAGCACTTGTAGCCAAGCTTCCCCATGAGCTTCCTGGCTTCTCCCAAACGTCCTGAAACCAGATGCGCCTCCCCTAGCATGATGATTCCTGGTTGTCCAAAACTCGAGGCTTGAAGATAATCCTTGGCTTTCTTGTTCCAATTAGTGATATTGGCATGGTAGATGGTGAAACTGTCATGCGCCCCTGGGGGGGGGGGGGCGGGTGTGTCGCGGCCGACCGCCACGCTCACCTGGATCCGTCCCCCCCCTGGCCCCTGCTGCAGGGCGCGGGCAGCTGCGGCTGCGGGGCTTCTGATCATGGGTCCTGCCGCCCCCTGCCGAGTCACGCCCACGGGCTGGGTCATCTCCAGCTGCAGCCGCGGCACCTTCAGCACGACGAGGTGGTGCTGCGGGCTGTTGGGCTGCTGACTTGGGCTTGCCCTTCTTGGTCTTGGTATTCGGGAGCAGGCCCTGGACCTTCTCGAGGTCCTCAAAGAACTGCTTGGCGTTGTCGCCTTCCTCCCCCTCCATTCTCTGGATGAACTTGAGGAGTCCATCTGGCACTTTAGGAAGCTGAACGGCAGGTCCTTGTTCGATGTCTTCCTCCATGGGAGCGCCTCCGCCCCAGCCACGGGTAGCCTCGACGCTAGCGGCCTCGAAGTTGGAGCGGGCCTTCGCGAGCTCCTCGGTCGTGGTGTTGAGCTCATCCTGCGCGGCTGTGACCTTGGCCTCAAGGTCGGTGACGGACTCCTTGAGAGTCTCCTGCTTCTTCTCAAGGCGGCGAACCTCATGCAAGGCTGTGGTAGCTGCAGGCTGCAGCAGCTGGTGGTTTCTTCGGCGGCTGGATCAAACCCTGTATCTTGTTGCAGGCCTCGGTGCCCAGGTCGTCCCTCTGCTCGGGTGTGAGCTTCGCGAGAAGAAGTGAGAGGATCTCTTTCATCTCAGAAGGCTTCTCCTGCTGCTCCTTGTCCTTGCCGCCTCCGCTGGGGCCTGAGGTGCCGTTGTTGTCCTGGCTCTTGCACGGTGGCAGGTCGAACGGCTGCCCACAGAGGCAGAACATCTTCTTCCGCGCCTTGTTCAGATATTGTCATTCTCCACAACTTGAACAGACGCAGTACTGACGCCGACGTTGCTGCTGCTGGTAATACTGCTGGTATGCCCACCACGAATTGCCACCCATGGCTGCTGAACTGTCGGTGCCTTGACCGACGGGAGCTGAAAAGCCACTGCTGGCAAGATGGACTCGAGCCCGTGCTGCGGGGCTCTCGGCCCCCTTAGAGCCCGATCGGGTTCTAAAAAAGCCTTGAGCCAAAATGGCTACGGAAAGTCCCAGTCCCTCCTCCTCCTCCTCCTCCTCCTCCTCGACCCTCCTCCTCCTCCTCCTCCTCCTCGACCCTCCTCCTCCTCCTCCTCCTCCTCCTCCTCCTCCTCCTCCTCCTCCTCCTCCTCCTCCTCCTCCTCCTCCTCCTCCTCCTCCTCCTCCTCCTCCCTCGCGCCCTGGCGAAGGGGGCCACCGCGGAGACCTCCTCGGCCTCCCGACAGAAGCTGGGGCCCTCCCGCGCCAGGCCGGCCCCTGGCGCCACCCGATCCGGCTCCGCGCGCGGCCCCTCCCGCCGCTGGGGGCGGACTGGCGGCGCCGAGGGGGCGAGGCCCCCAGACATCCTCTTCCTCCTCCTCCTCCTCCTCCTCCTCCTCCTCCTCCTCCTCCTCCTCCTCCTCCCTCGACCCTCCTCCTCCTCCTCCTCCTCCTCCTCCTCCTCCTCCTCCTCCTCCTCCTCCTCCTCCTCCTCCTCCTCCTCCTCCCCCCCCCTCCCCCTCCTCCTCCTCTGGCGCACCAGCAAAAACCCGAGGCGGCCAGTCGGCCAGTCGGGGAGTCGGGCCGGTCGAATAGTCGGGGAAGCGAGGAGTCGGGGAGTCGGCCAGTCGGGGAGTCGAGGAGTCGGGGGGTCGAAGAGTCAGTCAGTCGGGGAGTGTCGAGGAGACGGGGAGTCGGCGAACCAAACAATGAGGTTCCACGAGATCGCTTGTTTTCGGCGATTAAGACGCAGCCAGGACGAGGACAACATCGGGTGAGGATGAATCGAGAATCTCTGAGATCCGGCGGCTCTGGAAGGTGTCTCGGGCGCCGCGGCCTTCTCAGTGCGTTCCTGGACGCTCTGAGGGCCTTCTGGAGCGCTCTGTAAAGGATTATTCCTCGTCCTATCCTCGTCCAGGCGATAACCCAACTTGTTGTCCGGTCGGGGAGCGGCGGGGAGGGGCCGGCCGATGACCTGACCTCTTCGCTTTGGGCATCCCCATGCCCGCGCGCACCACCGACAAGATCGAGTTATCGGGGGCGAGGAGGGGTTCGGGCCCAGTAGCCAAGGTTCTCGTCAGACCCATCGCGAAAACAGTCCCCACGTCAGTGCCAGGCGACGGAAGGGACAGAGCCGCGACAGCTCCAACGTCGACAGCAGCACCCTCTTGCAGGTTGGGTGCTGCTAAAACCGGGAGCGCCCTGCGGACAGTATGTGTCGCCATTTGCCGTTTTAGGATGCTCTCCATTCTTATTATTCTTCTTCTTATGATTACTATTATTAATATTAGTATTATTATTATCATTATTATTATCATTATTATTATTAGTATTATTATTCGTATTATTATTATTATAATTATTATTATTAGCACCATTATAATTATTATTATGAACACCATTATTACTATTATTATTATTATTATTATTAGTATTAGTATTATGTTTAGTATTATTATTATGATTATTATGATTAGTTGTATTATTATCATTATTATTATTATTGCAAGTAGTATTAATATTATTATTACTATTATTGTTCTCATTGTTATTACTATTGTTGTTGTTGCTATTATCATTATTAGTATTAGTATTATTTTTATTACTACTCATAGTATTATTATTAGTAATTACTATTATTATTGAGAATAATATTATTATCATTATCATTATAATAATTACTATTATTAGTAGTAGTAGTATTCGTATTACTCTTATTCGTATTATTACTAATAATATTATTACTATTGTTATTATTATATATTTGGCCTCTGGGGACCGTTCTCGGGCCTCGGGGCCAAGTCAGAATACAAAGCCAGGCCCTGGGGGGCGGGCGGGGCGTCGGGCGTCCGGGCCTCCGGACCGCCATGCAGAGGCCCAGGGTCCAGCGAACCGAGCAGAGCGGGAGGGCCGCTCTGTCGCCGCCTCTGGATTCTGGAAGCCAACTTCGGGCTTCGGGGCCGTCAAATCAAAAACGACTCGGAACGGAAAGCTCGGCCCTGGGGGAGGAGTCGAGATGTCTGGGGGTGGCCATCGGGGATGGACAGACCTCCCTTTAGTAAAACGTGGTTTAGTGAAAACGACCTCGGGCCCAAACCTGGCGAGCGCAAGCCTGGAAAATAGCGGCCACGGCGCCCTCTCGAGAACCGAAAACGGACAATTCACTAATCGACGTGTCACTGTTGGGGTTTCTGTCCACCCCCGAGTCCACACATCGAAAGGATCGGAGCCCCGGATGCCTGGGAGGAGTCCGGGGGTATTCCCGTGGGTCGGGGTAGGTCGAGCAGAGCGTGAGGACGTCGTGGAGCATGGGGCACATGTGACTCTGCGTGTCCCTGTCCACCCTGGTAGCGGATCTGCGACTGCATAAGTCGTTCCACAGGCCCCGCAGCTCCTCCATGTTTTATGTCGGGCTTGACCCCCTACAGGGGGATTTTCGACGAAGAATAAAAAATGATTCAAAAATGCCCCAATAGGGTCAGAAAATACTCCAAAAAAATCGCCAGGTTATTTATTGTTCGACTATTTTCTGGGGATATTTTTTTTTTGTTCGTCGACAATCCCCACTGTAGGGGGACAGGCCCCACTTAATCCTCGTTGCGCCGAGGGGGGTCGATGACCAAGGCTTATAGAAGTGTTGCCGGCCCGTCTCGGGGGGGGGGCTCCCGGGACGCCTCCGCCCCCGGAAGCGTCTCCGCCGAGGGCGGGGGCCTCCGGAGGCCTCTCGAGAAGGGGGGGGGGAGGGGCAGGGGGAGGGAAGGGAGGAGGGGGGGATGCAGGGCGAGGGGGGGGGGAGAGGGGCAGGGGGGAGGAAAGGGAGGAGGGGGAGGGGCAGGGGGGAGGAGCAGGGGGGAAGGGGCAGAGGGAGGGAAGGGAGGGAAGGGAGGAGGGGGGGGGCAAGCTAGGTGCGCTCGCGTCACATCTGACGTCCTACCCCTCCCTCCCATCCCTTACCATGGCGCTGATTTTCTCTATCCGCGGACGCGTGTCGTAGCGGACCTGTGGCTCCGCGCGCGCGTGCGTAGTGGGTGGTGGTGCACGTGCGTGCGAGCGTGCGTGTGTGCGTGGTTGTCGTGGTGGTGGTGGTGGTGATGGTAGTGGTGGTGGTGGTGGTGGTGATGGTGGTGGTGGTGGTGCTGGAGGTGGTGCTGGTGGTGGTGCTGGTGGTGGTGGTGGTGTTGGTACTGGTGCTGGTGGTGGTGGTGGTGGTTGTGGTGGTGGTGGTGGTGGTGGTGGTGGTGGTGGTGGTGGTGGTGGCGGTGCGGCGCGGTGGTGGCGGGCGGATGGGCGCGCGAGAAAAAGGCCCGCGCTGGGGCGAGAACGCCATCCTGAACGACGGAGGCCAAACACCGATCCGAAAATGAGGCCCACGCTGCAGCGGGAGCACGATTCGGAACGATTCGGAAGCAGAAATGAAGCCGGCGCCTCAACGAGAGCAGCATTTTGGCAAAAAATGACGCCGGCGCCTCAGCGAGAGTCGTTTCCCGGGATTTCCCGGGAATCCTGTGTGTGAAAAAACAATGCGCGGAGGGTGCGCGGCCATCACCCGGACGCCATCAGGGGAAGAGGGAGAGTATTTTCATATTGAGTAATTGTGCAGGGGGGGGAAGGAAGGGAGGAGGGGGGGATGCAGGGCGAGGGAGGGAGGGGGGCGCGGGGAGGCCACGGAGGCGAGGGAGCGTGAGAGGGAAGGCAGGCCTGCAGGGGAGGGGGGCCGGCACGGGACCTCCTGCGAGGGCGCACAGGCCAAGCACGCGCCTCCACTAGCGCGTCGCTCTCTCTCTCTCTCTCTCTCTCTCCCGCTGCTGCCTGCTGCCGCCTGCCCTCGCCTCGGCGGAGCCGCCGCTCCCGCGCGCCAGGGGAGGCCGAGGCAGCGGACGAGGCCACCCTCCCTGCAGCGCCCGATGGGAGAGGAGGCGAGGGCGGCCGCAGCGAGCCGGGGCTCCTCGGCCCTTCCCGGGCCTCTGGTGCGAGGCGGGGATTTATCCATATCCACCGCCTGGGAACCGACGTCCTGGAGTCCAAGCGGGCGGTGGATCTGGATATACTTTGGCCCCCGGGGGCCAGAATATCTCCATACCCACCGCCTGTCGAGGTCCCCGAGAATTGATCCTCCAGGCGGTGGTCATGTAGGAATTCCCGTCTCGTATCTGGAAGCTCCCGAAAGGCGCCGGGTGGAGTGCGAAGGATACGAGGGATGGAATCTCGGAGAGCGAGGAAAGGAAGCGGATGTAGGGGAGGACGAGTGGTGGAGCGGCAGAATGAGGAGGAGGGCGTCGTCGGAGGGACGGCGAAGAATGTTGCAGCGGGTTGCAGCGGGTTGCAGCGGGTTGCAGCGTGTCGCAACGGAGCACGCGAACGCAAATAATTGTTTGGGAATGCACCCACATCCCGGGTTGGCAACAGATTTCCGGGATTTGTGGTTGCAAGCCTGGGATTCGAGTCAGTTTGGTGGAAAGCGCCGTGTGGGCCTTGTTGGAGCCCTGGTGGGCTGGCCGGCTTAGGGCCGTCTCGAGCCGTCTTGGGGCCATCCTGGGCCGTGTTGGGGAGCTTGGGCCCTCTAGGGACCTTACAGGGGCTACGTATGCCCTCCTGTTGGCCTCCCATGGCCTTTTGGGGGGCCTCCCATGGCCTTCTTGGGCGTCTCTTGGGGGCCTTGTGAAGGCCTGTTGGGCCTCTTTTTGGCTTATTCGGGGTTTCCTTGGGCGGTCTTGGGGCCGTCCAGGCCGTCTAGAGGCTCTCTTGGGGGTCTCTTGGGACGTCTTTGTGCGATGCTGGAGGCCTTCTGGGCTGTTTTGGACGCTGCTGAGACCCGAACAGCGAATATAGTGAAAAGGTACGTACGTTTTCCTAAGGGAAAGCGATGCTTGCGTTCTGGGAGTCCTGTTGAGGGCCTCCTGGGCCGTCGTGGGGTCCTCTGGAGGCCCTCTGGTTCCTTCTTGGAGCGCTCTTGTGCTGTCGTGGGTCTCTCTTCGGCCTCTCTGATCACCGCTCTGATCGCTTCGGGGCCTTGTGAGGGCCTGTTGGGCCTCTTTTGGGCTCATGTGTGGTTTCCTTGGGCAGTCCTGGGGCCACCCAAGCCGTCTAGAGACTCTCTTGGGGGTCTCCTGGGCCGTCTTGGGGCGATACTGGAAGCTTTTTGGAGCTGTTCTGGACGCTGCTAACACCGAACAGCGAATGGGCTGAAAATGCACGTTTCCCTAAGGGCGTGAAGCGATGTTTGCGTTATGGGAGTCTCTGGAGGCCCTGGTTCCTTCTTGGAGCGCTCTTGTGCTTTATCGGGTCTCTCTTCGGCCTCTCTGATCACCGCTCTGATCACCGCTTTGATCGCTTCGGGGCCTTGTGAGGACCTGTTGGGCTTCTTTTGGGTTCAATTGGGGCTGTCTTGGGCAGTCTTGGGGCTATCCAGGCCGTCTATAGGCTCTCTTGGGGTCTCTTGGGCCGTCTTGGGGCGAAACCGGAAAGGCCTTCTGGGCTGTTTTGGACGTTGCTTAAACCGACCAGCGAACGTACTGAAAATGCACGTTTTCCAAAAGGGAATTACGGGTTCCTGCGTTCTGGGAGTCCTGTTGAGGGCCTCATGGGCCGTCTTTGGGGCCTCTGGAGACCCTCTGGGTCCTTCTTGGTGCCCTCTTGTGTTGTCTTGGGTCTCTTTTCGGCCTCTCTGATCGCCGCTCTGATCGCTTGGGGCCTGCTGGCAGGACCCAGCTAAGCGCCCTGGAAGATCCTGGACGAGCCGAGGGACCTTTAGCAAGAATGTCCGGGGGGCCCAGAAACCCGCGATCCTGGGGGTCCAGTTTGGGGCGGGTGACGGGGTTCTCCCACCCCCCTGGCTTGCAAAAGTATAAGAAGAGGAAAGTATACATTATATATATATATATATATACACATACATATATATATATATATATATAGATCGGAGTTGGGGGGGTTAGATCGGAGTGGAACGGAAAGCCCCCCACCAGGAAATCGGTTTCGGTTTCGTGTTCGTGCGTGCCGCGCGTGCGGGCGAGGCGAAGCTGCGTGGGCGGGCGACAGGAAAGTCTCCTGTGGCTGAAGCGCGGCCGGACCAAATGATTCCCCCTGGGCAAACGGGGCCGCGCGGTGTCCCGCCGGTGTCCCGCCAGTGTCCCGCTGGTGTCCCGGTAAGTCTCCTGTGGCTGAGGCGCGGCCCGACCAAATGATTCCCGACCCGCAAACGGGACCGCGCGGTGTCCCGACGGTGTCCCGCCTGTGTCCCGCTTGTGTCCCCGTGCCCGGCTGGAACGAAAACGATAATGAGACCGATAGTGAGATCGATTGTGAGATCGATTGTGAAATCGATAGGGAGATCGATAGTGAGATCGATCGAGTGAGATCGATGGTGAGATCGATTGCGGGATCGATCGTGAGAGCGATCGTGGGATCGATGGCGAGATCGATTTAGTAAGATCGACAGTGAGATCGATCGAGTGAGACCGATCGAGAAACATCGACCGTGGAATCGATAGTGATATCGATGGAGTGATATCGATAGTGAGATCGATAGAGTGGTATCTGTCGTGAGATCGATAGTAGAATCGACGACGAGATCGAGAGTGAGATCGACCGTGAAATCGATCGAATGAGACCGATATTGAAATCGATCGACTGCGATCGATAGTGAGGTCGATAATGGGATCGTCGATCGTGGGATCGATAGGGGTCGATAGTGAGACCGATAGTGAGATGCAAATCGAAATTCACATCGAAATGCAGATCGACAAGCAAATCGACACGCACATCGATAAGCAAATACAAATGCAAATCGTCAGGCACATCGACATCCCGTGCTGTATGCTGTGCCAAGAGCGAGCGGCAACGCAACAATCTCTGAACACCAAGGCTCCCAGTACGAACGTTGGCGGAACAGGCTCTTCAGGGTCGCTCCAAGAAGCTCCCGGGAGGCCCCAAGAGGCCCAATGATTGCACCATGGGCACCGATGCTTTGCATTCCGTTTACCTGTCGCGGCAATCGTGATGGCGCAGGAGGCCCGCACCAGACGTTGCCGCCGGCCCGCTCCCGCCGCCTGTGCGTTCGGATGCTCGACCGCGCGGGGCCGGAAACGCAGCAAGCGTGCGCCATCCCCGAAAGGCTCCCAAGAGGCCCCCAAGAGGCCCCCAAGAGGCCCCCTAAGAGCCCCCCAAGAGGCCCCCAAGAGACCCCCAAGAGGACCAAAAGACGCGCCCAAACGGCCCCCAAGCCCTTGCAAAATGAACGAAATAATTCATTATTTCCTTAGTTCCCTGGGGCGGGGAGGGACTGGTACCAGGGCGCCCAAGAGCGACGGGTGACGTAAACAGCTCGACACCAGGGCTCCCAAGAGCGAGCGGCAACGCAACAATCTCCACTGGCACCGTCAGAAGAACAATCACCGCTGTTGCCCACTGCTGGCACCCTCCCCCCCCCCCAACCTCCTTATCACCCGCAGGGTGGTCGTCTAGTTAAGTCGGGCCTGTCCCCCTACAGGGTGAGTTTCGGCGAGAAAAAAATACCCCCAAACTAATAAAAAATTATCCCGGCAAAGCAACCTAACATCGATGTGTAGGAGCATATCTGGAAGCATTCCCCTTAAGATTCGGATGAGAATCCAGTTGTAGAATTCTGCTGTTCTCGCAGTCGTAGTCGCATTCGCGATGACAGTCGCAGTGGCAACGGCAGTCGCAGTCACAGCCTCAGCCTCAGCCTGCCTCAGCCTCAGCCTCAGCCTGCCTCAGCCTCAGCCTGCCTCAGCCTCAGCCTCAGCCTGCTTCAGCCTCAGCCTCAGTCTGCCTTCAGCCTCGGCCTCAGCCTCAGCCTGCCTCAGCCTCAGCCTGCATCAGCCTCAGCCTCAGCCTCAGCCTCAGCCTCAGCCTGCAGCCTCAGCCTCAGCCTCAGCCTCAGCCTGCCTGCTTCAGCCTCAGCCTCAGTCTGCCTTCAGCCTCGGCCTCAGCCTCAGCCTGCCTCAGCCTCAGCCTGCATCAGCCTCAGCCTCAGCCTCAGCCTGCCTCAGCATCAGCCTGCCTCAGCCTCAGCCTCAGCCTGCCTCAGCCTCAGCCTCAGCCTGCTGCTTCAGCCTCAGCCTCAGTCTGCCTCTTCCTCAGCCTCAGCCTGCCTCAGCCTCAGCCTGTAGCCTCGTCCTCCTTCCTCCGCAGCCTCAGCCTGCCTCAGCCTTCAGCCTCAGCCTCAGCCTGCCTCAGCCTTCAGCCTGCCTCAGCCTCAGCCTGCCTCAGCTTCAGCCTGCCTCAGCCTCAGCCTGCCTCAGCCTCAGCCTCAGCCTGCTTCAGCCTCAGCCTCAGTCTGCCTTCAGCCTCGTCCTCAGCCTCAGCCTGCCTCAGCCTCAGCCTGCATCAGCCTCAGCCTCAGCCTCAGCCTGCCTCAGCATCAGCCTGCCTCAGCCTCAGCCTTCCTCTGCCTCAGCCTCAGCCTGCTTCAGCCTCAGCCTCAGTCTGCCTTCAGCCTCGGCCTCAGCCTCAGCCTGCCTCAGCCTCAGCCTGCCTCAGCCTCAGCCTCAGCCTCAGCCTGCCTCAGACTCAGCCTGCCTCAGCCTCAGCCTCAGCCTGCCTCAGCCTCAGCCTCAGCCTGCCTCAGCCTCAGCCTCAGCCTGCTTCAGCCTCAGCCTCAGTCTGCCTGCAGCCTCGGCCTCGGCCTCAGCCTGCCTCAGCCTCAGCCTGCCTCAGCCTCAGCCTCAGCCTGCCTCAGCCTGAGCCTCAGCCTGCTTCAGCCTCAGCCTCAGTCTGCCTTCAGCCTCCGCCTCAGCCTCAGCCTGCCGCAGCCTCAGCCTGCATCAGCCTCAGCCTCAGCCTCAGCCTGCCTCAGCCTCAGCCTGCATCAGCCTCAGCCTCAGCCTGCCTCAGCCTCAGCCTGCCTCAGCCTCAGCCTCAGCCTGCTTCAGCCTCAGCATCAGTCTGCCTTCAGCCTCGGCCTCAGGCTCAGCCTGCCTCAGCCTCAGCCTGCATCAGCCTCAGCCTCAGCCTCAGCCTGCATCAGCCTCAGCCTCAGCCTGCCTCAGCCTCAGCCTGCCTCAGCCTCAGCCTCAGCCTGCTTCAGCCTCAGCCTCCGTCTGCCTTCAGCCTCGGCCTCAGCCTCAGCCTGCCTCAGCCTCAGCCTGCATCAGCCTCAGCCTCAGCCTCAGCCTGCCTCAGCATCAGCCTGCCTCAGCCTCAGCCTCAGTCTGCCTCTGCCTCAGCCTCAGCCTGCTTCAGCCTCAGCCTCAGTCTGCCTTCAGCCTCGGCCTCAGCTTCAGCCTGCCTCAGCCTCAGCCTGCATCAGCCTCAGCCTCAGCCTCAGCCTGCCTCAGCATCAGCCTGCCTCAGCCTCAGCCTCAGCCTGCCTCAGCCTCAGCCTCAGCCTGCTTCAGCCTCAGCCTCAGTCTGCCTTCAGCCTCGGCATCAGCCTCAGCCTGCTCAGCCTCAGCCTGCCTCCGCCTCAGCCTCAGCCTCAGCTTCCGCCTCAAGCCTCAGCTTGCCTCAGCATCAGCACTGCCTCAGCCTCAGCCTCAGCTCACCCTGCCTCAGCCCAGCCTCAGCCTCAGCCTCAGCCTGCTTCGCAAAGCCTCAGTCTGCTTGAGCCCTCGGCCTCATCCTCAGCGTGCCTCAGCCTCAGCCTGCACCAGCCTCAGCCTGCCTCAGCCTCAGCCTGCCTCAGCATCAGCCTGCCTCAGCCTCAGCCTCAGCCTGCCTCAGCCTCAGCCTCAGCCTGCTTCAGCCTCAGCCTCAGTCTGCCTTCAGCCTCGGCCTCAGCCTCACCTGCCTCAGCATCAGCCTGCCTCAGCCTCAGCCTCAGCCTGCCTCAGCATTCAAAATGTGGCCCGGGAATGGAATTCTGGGAACTCGAAGAACACGAAGTGGCCTACAGTTGGCTCCGGGCATTCAAAATCATGCCAGGAATGGAATTCTGGGAACTCGAAGATCACGAAGTGGCCTACAGTTGGCTCGGGGCATTCAAAATGTGGCCCGGGAATGGAGTTCTGGGAACTCGAAGAGCACGAAGTGGCCTACAGTTGGCTCCGGGCATCCAAAATGTGGCCCGGGAATGGAGTTCTGGGAACTCGAAGAGCACGAAGTGGCCTACATTTGGCTCCGGGCATCCAAAATGTGGCCCGGGAATGGAGTTCTGGGAAATCGAAGAGCACGAAGTGGCGTGCAGCAGACTCCGGGCATTCAGACTGTGGCCCGGGAATGGAGTTCTGGGAAATCGAAAAGCACGAAGTGTGTGACTGTATGCGAAAAACGATCCCCCCCGGCAAACCCCAACGGCCCCCCAACGGCTCCCCAACGGCTGCCCAGACCCCCCTGTGGAGTAATGTGCTGCTCTCTTTTTATACCACTAGAAACCTATCAGTCTTCGATGTTAGGTAATAATCCAAACATAGTCTGGGGACTATTTTTTGAATATTGTTTGACATTTTCGATGTATTGTTGGGGTATGTTTTATTTTTCGTCGAAAATCCCCCTGTCGGGGGACAGGCCCGACTTGATCGTGTAGGTGTGTGTGGGTATATATATATATATACAGATAGGCTACGCGCAGGAGTGGGCGGGCAGGAGTGGCCTTTGGCGCGCAGCTCTCGGGGGCCACGGGGGGGGGGGGAGGGGGGGGCGACACGCACTCGCGCGGGCCGGTGCAGGGGAGCCGTGGCCGGGCCGCCCAGAGGCCACTCCGGCGAAGGTGATCGGAAGTTGCAGAGGGGCACGAGGGGAAGGGGAGTCGAGCGTGCAGAGGGGGAAGAGGGAGAGGAGGAGGAGGAGGGGAAGGAGGAGGAGGAGGAAGAAGACAAAGAAGAAGACAATGAAGGATGAGGAGGCGGGAGGAGGAGGATGAGAAGGAGGGAGGAGGGAGGAGGGTGAGGAGCATGAGGAGGAGGAAGAAGAGGAGGAGGGGGAGGAGGAAGGAGGGGGAGGAGGGAGCAGGAGGAAGCAGGAGGGGCTCGGCGATGGCGCCGCGGCCGCCCGAGACGGAAGCTCGTCCGGCTCTGTGCTCCAAGCTCTGCGTGGAAGGCGCGCGCCAGCCTCAAGAGACCGCCCCCGTACCTTCCTCCTCCTCCCTCAACCTCCCCTGCTCCCCCTCCTCCTGCTCCTCCTCTGCCTCCTCCCTCCTCCTCCTCCCTCCTCCTCCTCCTCCTCCCCTCCTCCCTTCCTCCTCCTCCTCCTCCTCCTCCTCCTCCTCCCCCCCCCCCCCGCCCCCCCCCCACCCTCCTCCCCCCCCCCCCCCCCCCCCCCCCCCCCCCCCCACCCCGCCCCCCCCCCCCCCCCCCCCCTCCCCCCCCCCCCCCTCCCCCCCCCCCCCCCGCCCCCCACCGCCCCCCCCCCCCCCCCCCCCCCCCCACCCCCCCCCCCCACCCCCCCCCCCGCCCCCCCCCCCCCCCCCCCCCCCCCCCCCCCCCCCCCCCCCCCACCCCCCACCCCCCCTCCCACCCCCCCCCCCCCCCTCTCCGCCTCCCTCATCCTCCTCCTCCACCCTTCTCTTACCCCCCCCTCCTCCTCATCATCATCATCCTCCTCCTCTTCCTCCTCATCCTCCTCCTTCTCCTCCTCCTCCTTCTGCGCCTTCTACCCCCCCCTCAAGGAACCACCCTCAGACGTGATAGCGTCAACGGAGGGCCGCATGCCCGATGCCGGCTGCAGCGCTGCGGGGGCTGCCCGCGCCCAGGGCCCCTGGAGGGCGGACGGGGCTCGCCGCACGGGTCGCAAGGGGGCCGAATTCGCGCGCCGCAAGGGCCGAGGCAAGGAGTACATCAGCGGCAGCGGCAAGAGGGGGAGAGCGGCCTCCTCCTTCTCCTCCTCCTCCTCCTTCTCCTCCTCCTCCTCCCTCCTTCTCTCCTCCTCCTCCTCCTTCCTCCTCCTCCTCCTCCTCCTCCTCCTCCCTCCTCCTCCTCCTCCTCCACCTCCTCCTTCCTCCTTCCTCCTTCCTCCTTCCTCCTTCCTCCTTCTCCTCTTTCCCCCTCCTCTCCCTCACTCCTCCGCCTCCTCCTCCTCCTCCTCCTTCCTCCTCCTCCCTCCTCCTCCCCTCCTCCTCCTCCTTCCTCCTCCTCCCTCCTTCTCTTTCCTCCTCCTCCTCCCCCTCCTTCTCCTCCTCCTCCTCCTCCTCCTCCTCCTCCTCCTCCTCCTCCTCCTCTCTCCTCCTTCCTCCTTCCTCCTCCTCCCTCCTCCTCCTCCTCCTCAGGCGGGAACGACGGAGGAGGAGCATAGAGGAGAGCTGGACCGGCCACGGCGCGTCCGCCGAGGGCCGCGCCATAACAGCCAGGCTGGTGAGCGGCGCTGCTGGGAATCTGGCTCGTGCGACGCCGGACTCGCGCAGAACACAGCGTACAGTCGGGGCGTTGACCTAAGGAACCCTAAATAAGGAACGAGGCCCCGTTTTGTTCCCAAAAGTTCAACCTCGATTTCCCATGGAACACCTCAGGAAAACCCGAGGCAAATTTTGAAACCATCAAGGAACACCGAGCCCCACCCCAACGAAAAGGGTTCCTTCTTCAGCGCCCAGACTGCAGGAAAACACAGAAACGAGCCATCACTAAGCCTACGATCGGGTTGGCCACGAACCACCCCCACATTGAATACCGAAGCCTGCACCGCCGTCGGCGTGTCGAAGGGACATGCACGAAGCGAACGGCCGTCGCCGACACATCGCAATGGACGAGGGCAAGTGCGCGGGGTGGAGGGGGGAGTGCCTGGAGACACGCGCAGAAGCGCGCACGTACACGACTTGAACAGAAGGCAGGATGCAAGCACACAAGCCTGCACGTGCATCGTGCATCGTGCATGAGGCTTGGCGCCTACACTATCGGAGTGTGAATGCACGCAACGCCTTCGGCATTTGCATACTCCGTTGTCCTAGACGCCTCGGAAGACCATGTCGAACTTCCAGGGCTGCGTGTACTGACTCACAAAGGTCCCTGGATGGCCACGAGAGGGCTCAGAGTTGCGACAGAGCCCCTCAAGGATGACCCCCGAGAGGTCCAAACCATCGAAAATCCAAAAGTGTGTCAACGGCGTTGGCCTTCTCACCATTTCGCCTTCCGGTTGGCGTATCAGGCATGGATGGCAAAGAAGGTTCAGAATCCAACAGTCCCAGACATCCGACTCTTTAATGTTTCACACATTGGTTCCCCGTATGTCTGGACCACTTCCGAGGGACCGCATTCCATCCTGAGTGCTTGCTTGACGGTCCTAGGGCCCGGCAAGGGCCCACAAAGCCGAAAACAGAAGAACAAAAAACAAAAAAGAAAAAAAAAAAAAAAAAAAAAAAAAAAAAAAAAAAAAAAAACGTCGTCGTGAGGATGTCGGGCCTGAACCTCTTCTCCCTCCCCTCCCACCACGCGAGACAGAGTCCAAAATGGTAATACAAAACGAAATGTAAACAAAATCGTCTCCAGACCAGTGCTACTATTTTTGATTATTCCTCCAAAGAGGGGCCCAGAAGGGCCTCCCGAGGGCCTCAGAAGCGCCCAACAGCATTCCAAGAAAGACCAAAGATAGGCTTCCTCGAGATGAGGATGTCGGGGAAGGGGCCCAGAAGGGCCTCCCGAGGGCCTCAAAAGCGCCCAAGAGCATTCCAAGAAAGACCAAAGATAGGCTTCCTCAAGATGAGGATGTCGGGGGAGGGGCCCAGAAGGGCCTCCTCAGGAGCGCCCAAGAGCATTCCAAGAGAGACCCAAGATAAAAGCTTCCTCAGGATGAGATCCTCCGGGCTCGAAAGAGGGAGCGCTGACTCGGAGCTTGCCTGCTTGCCCGTGGCCTCCAGTCTGGCCCTGGGGCCCTAGGAGGGCCCGAAGGATACCAAAAGTGCTCGGAGAGAGTCTCAGGAGGCCCTGAGGGGCTCCCAAAAAGAGAGCCTCCGCGAGGCCCCGAGAGGGCCCCAAAGTGGCCACTGCCGGGAGCTGCCTGCACGGACCCCTCCTCCCGCTCGACTGCTGTGTACCCCGTCATTCTGCAAAGTCCTCCCAGATGGGGTCGGAGGATCGCACCGCATCGTCGATGCATCGCCGATGCGTCAGCGACGTCGGCGATGCATCGGCGATGCATGCGTTTGCTGTCAACATCCATTCGCCACCTGGTTGATGATGCTGACGATGATGACGAGGAGGATGGGGAGGAGGACCAGGACAGATGATGATGATGATGATGATGATGATGATGATGATGATGATGATGATGATGATGATGATGATGATGATGATGATGATGATGATGATGGTGGTGATTATGAGGAGGGGTGATTAAGACGACAACGATCAGGAGGGGGAGGAGGGGGGAAAGGATGTTGATGCTGATGCTGATGATGAGGATGGAGGAAGGGAGAGTGAAAGGGACGACGATGAGGGAGAAAGAGGAGGAAGAAAGAGGAGGACGACGATGCGGAAGAACGGGGGCAGCAGGAAGAGGAGGATGAGAAGGGGATGGAGGAAGGCTGACAGTCCATTCCTGCTGGTCGTCCTCCTCATCATCACCACCATCATCATTATCCCTCCTCCTCCTCCTCCTTCTCCTCCTCCTTCTCATCATCATCATCATCATCATCATCATCATCATCATCATCAGTAGCATCATCATCGTCATCATCGTCCCTCCTCCCCATCCTCCTGGTCATCATCGTCAGCACCATCATCCATTAACATCCTCGTCCTCCTCATCATCCATCCGCCTCGTCCGCCTCATTATCCTCCTCCTCCTCCTCCTCCTCCTCCTCCTCCTCATCATCATCATCATCGTCATCAGCATCAGCATCAGCATCATCACCGTCATCATCGCCATATGTTCGTTCTCGTCCTCGTCCACTCCTACCCCTCCTCCTCCTCCTCCTCCTCCTCCTTCTCATCATCATCAACCCCTTCTCATCCGCGCAAACAAAGCAAGAAGAAATCCATACAATCCAGAGCACTAAACAAACTAATAACAATCAAAAAGAGACATAGAAAGAGAGAGAGAGAGAGAGGATGAGGAGGAAGAAGAAGAAGAGGAGGAGGAGGAGCAGGACGTGCGGGAGGTGGAGGAGGAGGGGGGAGGAGGAGCATGAGGAGGAGGAGGAGGAGTGGTCCTTCGGGCGAAAATCTTTGCATTTTTGAAGCCCACACAAGTTCTATTAGTGTTCTATTGGGTTTCAGTTGTTTCTCAATGACAGTCACAGGTTGCCTTGCCTTTACAGCCACGAAACCCGTGAGGGTTCCAACCACATGGACCCAAGACGTTTCCTGAAAACCATTCATGTCTGTTGTCCGGGGAACCACCACAGGTTTTTGGGAACCCTCACAGGGTTCGTGGACCTCAGACGTTCTTTTAATGTGTTTGATGTTCCGGCGTTCTGATTGTTTTGATGGTATGGATGTCTTATTGCTTTTGAGTTTATGGATTTCTTATTGCTGCTGGAGGTATGGATTTCTTTGTGTGTTTGATTGTATGGTTGCCTACTTTCCCTTGAGCGTATGGATTTCTTATTGTTGTTGATTGTATGGGTTTCAAAATGCGTTTGATTGTAGAGATTTTTAATTAGTTGGGACTGGATTGATTTCTTATTGTTTTTGATTGGATAGACTTCTCATGGTTTTGATTTACAGGCGCGGCCCGTAATTTGACTCTCGCGAGGTAGACTGACTGAACTGAACTGAACTGAACCACTATAGCCGTTAGATGGCAGTTTTGTTTGCGGGTGAGGATATTTGGGCGGTAGTTTTAAGTTTGACGCCAGCGGGTGAGGATATTTCGGGAGGCCTTTCTGAGCAAGAGCGTGAGGATATTTGGGGGTAGCTTTCTGCGACGGGCGGTGAGGATATTGCGGGGGGCAGTTTTAGGCCAGGGAGGGTGAGGATATGTGGGCTGCAGTACGAAGTTTGACGCCAGCGGGTGAGGATATGTTGGGAGGCCGGTTTGAGCAAGAGGGTGGGGATATGTGGGTGGTAGTTTTCCGCGACGGGCGGAGAGGATATTGCGAGGGCAGTTGTAGGCCAGGGAGGGTGAGGATATGTGGGCGGCCGTCTGAAGTTTGACGCCAGCGGGTGAGAATATTTTGAGATGCAGATTTAAGCCAAATAGGGGGGATAGTTTACGGGCGCAACCCGTAATTTGATTCTCGCGAGGTAGACAGACAGACAGACTGAACTGAACCACCAGGCCGTTAGATGGCAGTTTAGTTTCCGCGGGTGAGAATACTTCGGTGGCAGGTTTAAGTCAGCGGATGAGGATAGTTCGGTGGCAATTTTAAGCCAGCGGGCGAGGATATTTCGGTGGCAGTTTTACTTCCGCGGGTGAGGATAGTTCGGCGGCAGTTTTCAGTCAGCGGGTGAGGATATTTCGGTGGCAGTGTTCAGCCAGCGGGCGAGGATATTTCGGTGGCAGTGTTCAGCCAGCGGGCGAGGATATTTCGGTGGCAGTTTTCAGCAAGCGGGTGAGGATATTGCGGTGGCAGTTCTAAGCCAGAAGGTGAGGACATTTCGGTGGCAGTTTCAAGCCAGCAGCAATTTTGAGCCAGCGGGTGAAGATATTTCGGTGGCAGTTTTAAGCCAGCGGGTGATGATAGTTCGGTGGCAGTGTGAAGCCAGTGGATGAGAATGTTTCGGTGGCAGTTTTAAGCCAGCGGGTGAGGATATTTCGGTAGCAGTTTAAGCCAGCGGGTGAAGATATTTCGGTGGCAATTTTAAGTCAGCGGGTGATGACATTGCGGTGGCAGTTTTAAGCCAGTGGATGAGGATATTTCGGTGGCAGCTTTAAGCCAGCGGGTGAGGACATGTCGGTGGCAGTTTTAAGCCAGCGGATGATATTTCGGTGGCAGTTTTAAGCCAGTGGGTGAGAATATTTCGGTGGCAGTTTTAAGCCAGAGGGTGAAGATACTTCGGTGCCAGTTTTAAGCCAGCGGGTGAGGATAGTTCGGTGGCAGTTTTATTGTCGCGGGTGAGGGTATTTCGGTGGCAGTTTTGAGCCAGCGGGTGAGGATAGTTTGGTGGCAGTGTTAAGCCATCGAGTGAGGATATTCCGGTGGCAATTTCAAGCCAGAGGGTGAGGATATTCCGGTGGCAGTTTTAAGCCAGAGGGTGAGGATATTCCGGTGGCAGTGTTGAGCCAGCGGGTGAGGATAGTTCGGTGGCTGTTGAAAACCAGCGGGTAAGGATATATCAGTGGCAGTCTTAAGCCAGCGGGTGAAGATATTTCGGTGGCCGTTTTTTGTCCGCGGGTGAGGATACTTCGGTGGCAGTCTGAAGCCAGCGGGTGAGGATATTTCGGTGGCAGTTTTAAGCCAGTGGGTCAGGATATTTCGGTGGCAGTTTTACTTCGGCGGGTTCAGGATAATTCGGTGGCAATTTTAAATCAGCAGGTGAGGATCTTTCGGTGGCAGTTTTAAGCCAGCGGGTGAGGATATTCCGGTGGCAATTTTCAGTCAGCGGGTGAAGATATTTCGGTGGCAATTGTAACTCAGCGGGTAAAGATATTTCGGTGGCAGTTTTAAGCCAGTGGGTGAGGATATGTCGGTGGCAGCTTTAAGCCAGAGGGTGAGGATACTTCGGTGCCAGTTTTGCTTCCGCGGATGATATTTCGGTGGCAGTTTTAAGCCAGTGGGTGAGAATATTTCGGTGGCAGCTTTAAGCCAGCGGGTGAGGATACTTCGGTGCCAGTTTTAAGCCAGCGGGTCAGGATAGTTCGGTGGCAGTTTTATTGTCGCGGGTGAGGGTAGTTCGGTGGCAGTTTTATGTCCGCGGGTGAGGATATTTCGGTGGCAGTCTGAAGCCAGCGGGTGAGGATATTTCGGTGGCAGTTTTAAGCCCGCGGGTGAGGATATTTCTGTGGCATTGTTAAGCCATCGAGTGAGGATATTTCGGTGGCAGTTTTAAGCCAGAGGGTGAGGATATTCCGGTGGCAGTGTTGAGCCAGCGGGTGAGGATAGTTCGGTGGCAGTTTTAAACCAGCGGGTAAGGATATATTGGTGGCAGTTTTAAGCCAGCGTGTGAAGATATTTCGGTGGCAGTTTTACTTCCGCGGGTGAGGATATTTCGGTGGCAGTTTTAAGCCAGCGGGTGAGGACATTTCGGTGGCCGTTTTTTGTCCGCGGGTGAGGATATTTCGGTGGCAGTCTGAAGCCAGTGGGTGAGGATATTTCGGTGGCAGTTTTAAGCCAGTGGGTCAGGATATTTCGGTGGCAATTTTACTTCGGCGGGTTCAGGATAATTCGGTGGCAGTTTGAAATCAGCGGGTGAGGATCTTTCGGTGGCAATTTTGAGCCAGCGGGTGAAGATAGTTCGGTGGCAGTGTTAAGCCAGCGGGTGAGGATATTTCGGTGGCAGTTTTAAGCCAGTGGGGCAGGAGGAGGAGGAGGAGGAGGAGGGATGAACCGAGAAGTGCTGTGCTCGGCGCGGGCATCCAGTCGCCACGCGATGCGTCATTCGCTTGGTTGGCCCAACCGACGGCTACGCATTCAGCGCGGTTCTGCGCTCGTATATATGCTCGCCCCTCGGCGTGGGGCTGGCGGGGGGCCAAGTATGTATTTCCCAGGGTGTTTGATCGTGTGGTTGTCATTTTTGGTCTCACTGTATGAAAGTATGAATTGTGCTTGATTGTACCTAGTTCTTACCGCTACGAGTGTGCGGAGAAGAAGGGTGATGAGGAGGAGAAGAGGGATGGGGACGAGAATGAACATGATGAGGAACAGGATGACGATGCTGGTGACGATGATGATGATGGTGATGATGTTGAGGATAGTGAGGAACATCACAAGTCACGTAGTCTTAATTCATCATCCCCATCCTCACCCTCGTCATTATCATCGTCATCGTCACCAGCAGCATCATCCTGTTCCTCCTCATGTTCACTCTCGTCCGCATCCCTCTCCTCAACATGACCCTTCTCTTCCGCGCAAGCATGACAGTAAGACATACGTACAATAAAAATAAGAAGATGTCCATTCAATCAAAACAAAGGGAGAACCACAACATCAAAACCACAAGAAAACCATACAATCAAAAACAATGAGAAATCCATACATTGAAAACAATAAGAGATACACACAATCAAGCAGGAAGAAATCCATACAATCAGACACAGAAAGAAAGCCACACAATCAAATACAAAAAGAAAGCCACACAAACCAAAAGACAATAAATTCCTAACAATCAAAACCAATACGAAATCCACAACAAACAACACCATCACAAATCCATACAATCAAAAACAAAAAGAAGTCCATACAATCAAAAACAGTAAGACATCTATGCCATGAAAACCAATACGAAAGCCAGAACATCAAACGCAATAAGCGAACGTCTTGGGTCCACGAACCCTGTGAGGGCTCCTAAAAAGAACTGTTAGCGTTCCAACAAATAGAAATGTTCGGGACTTCAGGCTGCCTGAGCGGATCTGGCCTGGAGGGGCCCAGAGGAAATCCGAAGTCCTGAAAACCATTGATCATTGATCTGTGTTATTTGATTGATTGTTCGTGTGTTTTCTGTCTGTTGGGAACCCTCACAGTGTGCGTGGACCCCGGTGAAGAAAACGTCTTGGGTCCACGAACCCTGTGAGGGTTCCTTTTTTAAACAAAAAAACCTGTGAGGGTTCCCAAACAAAACTAAAAATTAATGGTTTTCGGGACTTCGGACTTCCTCCGGGCCCCTCCAGGCCAGATCCGCCCAGGCAGCCTGAAATCCCGATAACCACTGCTTTTGTTTCTCTGTTTTTTTTGGGGGGGGGAACCCTCACCAGTTTTAGATTGATCGATCTATTTGGGTTGCTGCGAACACTCACCGGGATCGTGGGCACAAGACGTTCTCTTATAGTGTTTGATTGTCTGGTGTCTGGCTTTCTTCTTGTTTTGACTGCATGGAATGCTTACCGCTTTTGATTGTATGGGCTTCTTTTTGTTTTTGATTGTATGGACTTCTGATTGTTTTTGATTGCCTGGATTTCGTATTGGTTCTGAGTGTATGGATGTATTACTGCTTCTGATTGTACAGATGTCTGATTGTATTTGAATGCGCGGAGGATCAGGAGGAGGAAGATGAAGACGAGATGACGATGATGATGACGATGATGATGTTTGATTGTCTGGTGTCTGGCTTTCTTCTTGTTTCCGCGCAGACCTTCGGCAGTTTACGCTGATGTGGTTACGGTCCGGAGCTGCTGCGCAGCGTGTCGCCGCGGCGGCCCCGGCGACACGCTCTGCCCTGCGAGCGGATCGCTTGCCGCTCCGCTCCGCGAGGAGGGAGGCTCGGAGAGGCTCGGGACGTTGACGCCCAGGGACCGCGACGCGGATAGCGTGTCGCGCCGAGGCGTTGTGGGTCAGAGCCAGTCAAGCGACACGCTGAGCCGAACTTCCCGACCGTAAACATGATCCGACTCTTCACGGTCAGCACAGGGAGGAGATGAGAGCAGCAACACTTCAAATGCTTGAGGGCGCGAGCCTTGTGCTGCATCTTCGGGGGACCTTGTCTGTCCCGTCGCGCCGCGATCGGCGTCCAATCCGTGTCAAAGCCGTGTCGACCGAGCAGACTCCGTGTCGAGTCCGTGTCGGATCCGTGTCGAATCTGCGTCGAAGCCACGTCGGAGTTCAAGAGACGACGGCCATGTACAGGGCAGGAAGAGGTCCCCCGAAGAGGCAGAAGAAACCGAGCCCAGGCGGGGCCCGGCAGACTCAGCGCACGCCGCCGACGTCGGAGAGACCTCCCGCCGCCGCGCCCGTCTGGATCCGCGGCACCAGCCCCGACAGCAAGTGCGACTGACGACCGACGTGAGCCCGGGGACAAGCGGCGGGCTCCGAGACGCCCTGAACCCCTCCAAGGTGGCATCTCCAGTGCGTTTTTGAAGGGGCCCGGGCTCGGGGCTTCAGACTTGGCCGAACTCGGCGCGCTCCCCAGACATCCGGCGCCGTGCCCTGGTTCGCAGCGCGTGTCCCCGGTGGTCAGGCCTCCGTCCTGGGAGCTGGCCAGGTGGGGCGCTGGCTTCCTTGCCCACCCGCAGGGCATCCGCCCCCGCATTCCCTACTTGTTGTTCTTCTCCCTCTCCTCCTCCTCCTCCTCCTTCTCCTCCTCCTCCTCCTCCTCCTCCTCCTCCTCCTCCTCCTCCTCCTCATCCTCCCTCCCCCCTCCTTTTCCCTTTCTCTCTCTCTCTCTCTCTCTCACACACATATGTAGACCACCACTACACAGTCACGTACTGTGCCATGCCAGGTCCCCACAAAGAGCCGGGTAAGATCCTCATAGGAGCCTCGTCGGCATGTGTTCACAAGCCTTTTTGAGCTTCGCGCAGGAGCCTCTCAGGATCTCCCACTCGGCCCCTGCCAGCCTTTCTCCCTTCCTGAAGCCTTGCGCACGGGGCTGGCCCCTGAGCTCCCTGGCCCATCGTCCGACCCAACAGGACGCGCTCCCGCTCGCCCCTCTCCGACAGCCTCCCCACTCCCAAGGGAATGCGACGGGGCTGGCTCCCGAAGCGTGCCCTGAAACTGCCAGTACGTACACCACAGGAGAAACTCAGCACGGAGCTCGCGGGGCCCTCCCGTCTCCCTTATCGTCTCGGGTCGTCCTCGGAGTGCCTGCAGGGCTCCGGGAGAGCCCCAGCTGCTGCCAGACGCCGGCGGCCGTGTTTTCTTTTCTCACGACGCTGGGGGCAGCAGGTCTCGCCGAGCTCCCACCGCACCGCGCCCGTCGTGGAGATCGACCGGCCACCTGCTGGCGGTGGCCCCCTCGCGGTCACCACGCAGGCCCCGTCTCTCTCTAATTATGTGGCGCGCCGCCGCGCCACAGATCGCGCCCAGTGGAGGCCAGGGCTCGGGCGGGGGAGGGGCGGGCTCTCAGCAGTCGGCCCACCCAGTGCAGAATGGCTGCCGGGGGCCGCGTGCAGAGTTCGATCGGTTTGCCTCGGCCAGGCCCTGGTGAGAGAGCGGCCGGGCTTTCCAGCCCGTGCGTCGGGTACCCCATCAGCTCGCACAGTAGCCACACTGCGTGGGGCTTCAAGGGAGTTCTCTGGCGTCGCGATCCGCGCCAACAAGGCCGAGCTGACAGGGCCCTTCGAGCCACAGCTCGCGGCCGAGCCGCCGCTCCGCGCCCTGGCGCGGCGCCCGCCAGCAGAGATGAACGAAGGTAAGGTCCGCGATCGACGCTGGGGGGACGAGCCGGCCCGATCCACTCGATCCGCCGCCCGCGACCGTGCCGTCGCTCCGCGGCGTGCCCGCAGCAGCGGCGCGTCAGTCTGGTCAGCGACTGGCGCCACGAGGCCGGCCTGCCATGTTCGAGCCGCAGACCGCGGCCGCGCCGTCGCTCCTGAGCGAAACGGCGCGGAGCCTTCCAGCGGACACTGGAGTAAACACCAGAAAAGACGTTGTGGGCCCAATACACTTGGGCCGCAGGCTGCGACCGCGCCGTCGCTCTTCAACAAAATGTCACAGCGCCCTCAGCGGCAGCAGCATGCCAGCCATGTCCGCGACAGGCGCCAGGAGAGCAAACCCGCCCGATCCATTCGAGCCGCAGGCCGCGGCCGTGCCAACGCGCTTGAGCAAGACGGCTCGGCGCTTCCAGCGGCAGCAGCGCGTTGGTCAGGCGCAGGACCAACGCGGCGAGGCCGAACCAACCAACCGCTTGAGCTTGAGCTTTAGACCGCGGCCGCGCCGTTGCCTTTGAGACAGACGGCGCGGAGCCGCCCCAGCGGAAGCTGCGGGCGGGCCAGGTCCACAATCAGCGCCGGGAGAACGGGCACACCCAATCCACTCGAGCTGCAGGCCGCGGACGTGCCGCCGTCCTTTGAGCAAATCGGTGCGGCGCGGTCAAGTGCAGCAGCGTGCAGAGCGGCTCCGCGCCCAGCGCCGTGATGCAGAAACCAACCGACCCGTCCCTCCTCGAGACGAAGACTGCCCATCGCTCCCGAGTAGGACGGCGCGACGTCTCCAGCGGCGGCCGGGAGGACGAGCCGAGCAAACCCGTTCGGTCCGCGGGCCGCGGCCGTGCCTCTCGCTCGAGAGCGAGACGGAGTGGCGCCCTCCAGCAGAGCTGCGTGTACATCAGATCCGGGACGGGCGCCAGGCGGACTCGCCCCGCCGATCTACCGATTCACAGGACGCGGCCGTGCCGCCACTCTTGAGCGAAGCGGCATGGCGGACACCAGCATCAGCAGCGGCGGCGTGCAGGTCAGGTCCGCGCAAGGCCCAGCCGCGCAGGCGCAACCGAGCCGCAGACCACGGCCGTGCCGTCCGTCGCTCCTGAGCGAAACGACGTGGCGCTCGCCAAATGAACATACGCGGAGGCCACGTCCACGACCAGCGCCAGGAGCTCCAACAGCGGCGCTGCGCGCGTCAGGTCCGCGACCAGCGCAGCGATGCCGAGGCGGACGTGGCCCGCTTCGGACGCGGACCGCGGCCGTGCAGGCGCTCTCGACGCGGCGCCGCGGGGACCCCGTGGCAGAAGTGGCGTGCAGGTCAGCTCCGCGACCGGCGCCGCAGGGCTGGGAGGAGGAGGAGGACGACGAGGAGGAGGAGGGGGGGGGAGGAGGAGGAGGAGGAGGAGGAGGAGGAGGAGGAGGAGGAGGAGGAGGAGGAGGAGGAGAGGAGGAGGAGGAGATAGCGGGGAGGAGGAGGAGGAGGAGGAGGAGGAGGAGGGGAGGAGGAGCAGGAGGAGGAGGAGGAGGAGCCCGCCAAACCCAGTCGCGCAGCAGCGCCGCCGTGGCATCAGCGCGCGGGTGCGGCGCGCAGCGGGCGCTGCCGCGAGGCAGCCGGTGCGGCGCGCAGCAGGCCAGCGGCGCGCGGCAGCGCTGCGGCGGCGAGCCCGGTCCGGCAGCTCTGCGGCCCGCACGGCGCGCGCGCGCGCCCCTGCTGCTGCCGCGGGGCCTCGCAGGGCCGCGCGGGCGCCACCCCGCCGGCCATCGCTTGACTGCGGGTGCGAAGCGTAGGGGCGCTGGGGCCAGAATGCCGACGGACATCTGGCGGCGTGTCGGCCCGTCGGCTTCCTGGTTCGAGCACGAGTGCGCACAACTCCCGCCCCCCCCCTCCTGTCCTTCATGCTGGCCGTGATGCGGTTGACCCGAGAGAGGGTCCAACCGAAAGGGGGTGGCGCAATAGGCTTGGGGCACTTGTGTTGCAATGTAGTGCGCCAGAGAGTGGTACTGCGGTATTGCTTGCATTGTACTGTATCGAACATGTTGCACGCGAGAACCCAGCAATACATTTGCGCACTGGACCGTAATGCACGCCCCAAATCGATTGCAACCCCACAAATGGACCCCCTCTTGGGTCAACCCGATGTAACTTCCACGCCTGCGGCGTTCCCCCATTCAAGCGAAAGCCATCCATCCCAAGTCATTCTTCCCGTCTGGACACTGTTGCCAATGAGCATGCACGCGTTGCGGGCGACCCGAAACCCTTCTCAGAAGCGCGGGAACCCGCTGACTAGTGAGCGGCACGCAGAAACTTGACAGGCCGACCGCCGCAGCATCACCTCGTTTTATGCCCGCGACGACAAACCATGACAAAACCACCAACCCTCAGACGGGTACAGTCGGCATTTACCATGAGGATGCGCGGTAAGCATGCAAGGGCCTCGGAGGGCCATGTGGACGTTTCTCCAACGAGGTTGGCTAGCGAAAGTCGCTACGGATGGGCCGAAGGGGCAGGGATGCAGGGGTACCCTTGGGAAGGTAGCCCATCCTTAATATGCGGGTTGACTGTATTCGACATGATGGTACAACACACTCAGGCAGCAGCGAGCGGCAGCGGCGCGGCAGCACCCGGAAAACCACGGCGCGAGGCGCCGCGGACCGCAGCACCACGCGAAGGCCTGCGCGCTCTTTTTGTTCACCTCCGCGGCACACACGAGACACACACACAGACACACAGGTACGGACAAGCCTGGTGGTCAGTCTTTATGAAGGCCGCGGAGGTATGGAGCCAAGGTGAGGTGGCAACTTCTGGGAGCCTCCCATACAGGCTTGTTGGCTCTTGCGAATGAACGCTCATCGACGCCAATCGACGCTAATTGACACTACGTCGACGCTGACTCAACACTCATCGACGCTGAATCGGCGCCTTCTCGTCGACTACCAGACGCTAATCGACGCAGGTGCGCCCCAGAGACTGGGTTACGGGGGTCAGAGCTCCCATCACTTGCTACCCCACATCGGGTGTTGCTAGGGGTGCCCGTGGCGCAAGGTACCCCCAGGATTTCCAAGGAGGCCCCCTGGCATCCAGAGCACCCCTCACGAGGCCCGGAGGACCCGAGCGGCTCTAAAGAATAGAGCGCGGCGCTGGAGCCCGTCTTCCCCGAGCTCCTCTCCGAAGAGATGGGAGGGGGTTCCAGGGATCTCACGCAATCCCCGAAGAATCCGTCGGGAATCTTGGCGCACGTAGGCCAAATAGCGTGACGTGATTCGAGGGGATGGGGGAGGAGAGAGATGATCAGCAATGCAAGGACCCCTACTCCAGATTTCGTAATAAAGGGAGGGGGGTCTCATTTCGGGGGGGGGGGGCTCTTCCAGGCTATCTTGGAGGGCCTGGGGGGTCTGGGGACGATGTTTTGGAGGGTTCTCCCACGGGGGAGGTCTGAAATAGCTTGTCCTGGAGGGTCCAGACCCCCTCCCTTTTGTTACGAAATCTGGAGTAATCCTTGGGGAGCGGACCTAAGTTAAGAGGACCCAAAACATTAGGGATAGTTGAACAGGGGCCGACCGGCCCGGCATTCCTATAGTCATACCACGGAATGTTCTTATAACCCAAGAGTGTCCGAAGCGCAAAAGCAATGTTCTTAGAACATGAACCCGAGGTCTTAACATACGACAGTCCCAGCCAGAAATGTGCTAAGAACATTCCGTGGGAAACACAAACGGTTCTTAGAACAGTGTTTGGTGGGGCTATACGAGCGAGCCGGGACGCTTCGCCACTGCTTGAGATAAGGGGGTCTTGTTCTGCAGATGTATCGAACGAAGAACCCTGCATGTACGATCCCTGATGCACAGACGGGGGCCCGGGTGAGGCCACGCCTTCGCGATATACCAGGGCCTGGGGGCCCCCCTCCGTTTCTCGCGGAGGAGAGAGCCGACCACGCCCCTGAGCGCCCAGGCCTCCCACAGGGGGACAAAAAGTGGCATAAACATAAAAACGCGGAGGTCCGCGCGGATTTCTCGGATCGGCGCTGGACCCCCCTGGCGGCGCCTGCGGCGCCGCCCCTGGCGCGCTCCCGCGCGCCAGGGAGGGGGGCCCAGCGCCGCTGCGAGAAAACCTGCGCGGACCTCCGAGTTTGGATGTTTATGCCAGCGTCTGGTCTCCCATCCCAGCCCTGCAGGAGCAGGCTCCCCGGGTCATCTCGGGCCAGGGGCACCCCTCGCGACCCCCGAGGAAGACGGGCACGAGCGGCGCCCGCGGGGGAGGCCGACCGGCATTGCGGCGGAGGGCAGCGCGGGAAGACAGGGCGATCGGGAGAGCGCCTCGCCAGAGAGCAAGGCGAGGGGGCGAGCGAGGGGGGGGTAGTGAGGAGGAGAAGGCCTCTTCAGAGGGCTCGGAAGTCCCCCCCGAGGCTTCTGAGAGAAGCCGTCTGAGCCTTCCCCGAAGACGCAGGCAGCCTCCCAGAGGGCGCCGCGAGGGTTTCCGAGAAGTGTCGCCGCCTTCGGAGAAGGCCTTCGCCCTCTCACGTCCCCCCCTCGCTCGCCGCCGAGTGATCAGGAGAGCGCAGCGCCAGAGAGCAAGGCGAGGGGGCTCGAGGGGGGGGGGCTGGCTCAGGGGGGCGGGGGCATCGACCTGGAACCCCAGACCGCCTCGGGTCATGACACATTCGAGACCCCTCGGGTCATGAAACACACATGTGACGGGAGGTGTGTCGCTGTGTTCGGCCTCGGGGGGGGGGCTCCCGCTGCCGGGCCCACGGGCCCAGCGAAACCTGCGGCTCGGGACGAACGGCCAGTCCGAGGCACAAGGGCAAGACCGCCGGGCTCCACGCCGCGAGAGACCCACGACGTCGGGGGTCCGGCATCGGCGCCACGCTGCCGATGGATCGGCGACGGGCCCAAGACTGCGGAGAGATCCGCACGCGCTGCGGGGTGGGTGGGCTGGCGGGCTCGTGCAGCGGCGATCGCTGGGCCGTCGGGGGCCGACGCGTCCCCGGGAGGCGCTCGGAGGACGCACCAGGGCGCTCGGAGGACGCACATTGAACTTCGATTTCCCATGGGACACCTGAGGAAAACCCACGGCAAACTGCGAAACAACGAAGGAACACGGAGCCCCTCCCCAACGAAAAGGGTTCCTTTTTCAGCGCCCCGACTGTAGCCGGCCAAACGACGCGGCGTACCCGTCGAGCCTCTCGGAGACGCCCCCCCGCGGGCGTCCCCCTGAGAGCCCCGCCCTGACGTGGCGCCCCGACCGGGGGAGCACACCTTCGCGCGAGCCGCAGCCCCCCCCCCTCCCGCACCCTCGGCTAGAGGCCTCCCAGATGGGGTCGGAGCAGATAGGGTCGGAGGATCGCGCCGCATCGCCAATACGGCGGCGACGCATCGGCGACGTCGGCGTGGGGAACGTCTGGCTCCGCATCGAGCCGGCGATGCAGCGGCGGCGCGGCGCGGTCCGCCGACCCTATCTACACGGCGTTCAGTTCTGATCGTGTTCATTCCTAACTGTGCTCGTTTCTCTACTTGCCCCTTGCCCCCCAGGCGGCCAGGAAGAGGCCCAGGATGGCGCAATTCGACAGGAACGGATCTTGGCCCCCCAAGAGAAGCAACGACCTTTCGCAGAACCAGAACATGAACCATGTGTACGCCGACCCCCTCTCGGAGGCCTGGAGCATCGTCGCGCGAGCCGCTGCCCCCCCCCCGCACACGCGCGCACGCGCACCCGGCGGGGCCGCGGAGCGCGCCGGCCGGCTGTTGCGGCCAGGGCGAGGAGGGGGGCGGCCGTGGCTGCAGCGGAGAGGGCGGCCGCCGAGGAGGGGGGCGCGGTCCCGAGGAGCAGGGGGATCACGGCCCCCTGCTCCTCGGGAGGAGGAGGAGGAGGAGGAGGAGGAGGAGACTTCTGCTGCTGCTGCTGCTGCTGCTGTTGCTGCCGCTGCTGCTGCTGCTGCTGCTGCTGCTGCTGCTGCTGCTTCTGCTGCTGGTCTCGCAGTCGTTTGATGCATGTACTGGTTTAGCAGAAGTGCAAGGCACACAAGGGGGAATCGGTACCTCGGAGTCGTGTCAACCCCTCTCTGGGACAGCATTTTCCTCTCGTGGCACACCTCTCGCGTGCGCAGCATAAACGAGCGCCAGGCTACGAACTGGCAACTGGCAGGTTTACGTCGCCACCTTCTCGCTTCAGCCAAAACTCAACTATATATAATGAGGATGGCGATAGTACTGGACAAAGGCATGAGCACAACACATGTGAGCACCGCGCGTGCGACCACACACGCAATCAGGATGCAGCACATACAAGAGAGGAGGAGGAGGCGAAAAGCGTTGGCGAGCAGATGCAGCAGGTTCGAATCAAACTCGAACGCCGCAGTGAGGATAAGCTCGCCTGGCGGAGCGTAAAGGGAGGCAAACACTGTCCGAACGAAATATGATGCTGCTGCTGCTGCACCCTCCACATACTCATAAACAGCAGCTAAAAGTACAGAGTGCACGAGCAGAAAACTGATTACTCGAGCTGTCATCTCACCGATCGGGAAGCATTCGAGGCCGAGGTTCACTGCATCACAGGTTACTGCCAGGGGCATCCACAGAATCCACAAGGCACGCTGGATACGCCTCCGCACTCTCCGCAATATACGGTAGATACGTTTGAACTTCATCGGCCTCTGCTCTCGATCTCACGAACGGGGCAATGAGGGCGATTCTGGTAGGTTGAGTCTCCACCAAGTCAGTCAAGCCGTCGATTCAATCTTATTCACGAGCTGATCGATCTTCTGGCGCTTGTTGACTCCCGTCGTTTTGCTCAGACCTGAAGACTCGAGCCGCTGGTTGAGGATCGTCTGCGTGAGCTTCGGCACCGAGGCGAGCTTCTGCAGGTATCACTCGCGATCCCGTGGCCACTCACTCACGCCCCAGTCGGGCAGGAGCTGCTGTGTGAGCGTGCGGATGCCATCGGTAATGCCGGCATCATCTCGCGGCGTCTCCGCATCGTCGAACGCCGGTGGCACGGGCAGACGCTTGCGTCCCTCACGCGCAGGCCCCCCTGCACACGCACCACCGTCAGAGGTAGCTGAGCGGGCCGTCTTCTTCTGGAGCTCCGCGACGGCCTTCGTCAGCTTCTCGATCTGCTCATCCTTCTCAAGGCTGCTCAGATCATCTGCACCTGCAGCCTCACTCTTCTGAAGCTGCGCCATCATTTTCTTCAGCGCTGCTGCGTTGTCCTCGTTCTCGTCGTCGTTCGTCTTCTTATTTTGCTTGTCCTTCTTCTTCTTCTGCATGAACTGCTGGTGCATCTGCTTCATCTGCTTGAGGTTGATCGCATTGCCACTCACGCTGGAGGCGTCAGAGGATGTCGTAGCGGACGAACTGCACCTTCGTCTTCGCGAACTGGAGGAAACTGAAGGGCCTGTCTTTCTTGCCATGCTTCTTCTTGTCGATGCTCTTCTTGATCTTGCTCTTGCTGATCCCGAACAGGTTGCCGACGACCTCGGTGGCACCACGCCGCGCCGCGTCTGCCAGGCTCCTCTTCTCAGCCATGGCCGCGCGTCGGGCCTCCTTCGCCATGGAGGCCGCCTGCATCTCACGGGCATTGCCCAGCGCATCGCGCAGGTAGGCGTCAGATCTGCTGGGACCTGGGTTGTGGTACTGCTTGTTCTGGTGCGCGTAGTTCTGGCTCTTGCCGCTCGGGTAGCCTCCGCCCCCACCATATCCGTGGCCTCCGCGTTGGTCGCCTCCATGGCCACCGTGGGGGCCACCGCCTCTGCCAGGAGGGCGCGGCGGCTTCCCCCAGACCATCGCGCGGCACGGCGCTGCCGACAGGGGCTGGGCGAGGTGGCGGCCAGCAGCCAGACGTGGGGCCTGGCACTTGCCACGCGGAGGATCGCTCACAGAGGATTGTGTTTTGAGCCAGTAAGCTATCCCAGACGGAGTCGAGCAAACACCGAAGCACTTCAACCTTGGCACCCGCACTCTGCACCAGTTCTTCAAGTTCTCTGCTCGACCTGGCCAGCTCTCCCCCCATTTTACGAATGTGGCATAGGTATGTAGATGTATGCTTACGAGGGACGCTACAAATACTTCGGCCGATAATGATGGCTGGCCATTTCTGGACCAAAACTTCAACAAGGATATCGGTTGTGGCCTCTCGGGCTCGATGAGGGCGCCCCTGGGCCATGGAATTGAAGGCGGGGGCCCTCCCCCATACTCGTGGGCACAACAACCGTGGGGGTAACATAGCGGGGGCACTCTCATAGTGTGGAAACTTCGCATATTTAAAATTCGATCTCTTTCCCTGACTGAAATCTTGATTTGCTGCAAACGCATAGCAGTCAATATCCGTACCTTTCGCTCTGATCTCACACTGAAGGCACTGCATTGGGAGGTCTGCCCCCTCGTGGGTGACCCCCACATCCGATGGAAACAACTGCCGCAGACCTCGATATAGACAGCTACTACAGTATACTCGAGAGAAGCAAAGGGAATCATCAACATACAAAAGACCCTGCAACAATTCATCTGTCTCATATAATGGCATGCTAAAACCCAACCTGCGTGCAAGTGCTTTATTCTTATACAAGGCAACGATGGATTCACCAAGGTCGGCCAATGTGGCAGGCTCGGACATAGAGCCGCCCATCGGCCAACCTTTGCGCCGACAGAAAATCTCCGTGCCAACACAAAAGTACTTGTCTTCACATGCATATGTAAGTGCTCGAATGATATCTTTGAATGTGACCAAATCATATCCTGGCTTCCTGGGCTGTCCTGGCACGCGCAGTCCTCCATGGGCCTTGCGACCTCTCTGCACCTCGACGCTGGCGGCACCGGTCTTCGCCGCGATACGGGCGGGGAGCTGGCGCGCACGTGCGCACCCTCGGACCTCAGAGGCGCCCTTGAAGAACTGCGCAGCATCAACCTTAACAAAGGCAAGAGGGGGGTTCTGACAACCACAGAGGCATGTATGTGTATACTCAGAAATGGTGTGCAACTTATTAACGCGCGTGCGAAGAAGATGGCAGACGATGGGGTTCCCATACTGTCCACATTGCATCACCCGACTTTTTCTTGGCAGTTCTAAGGGCACGTGCTGCTTGTTGGAGAAAACGTTTTTGGGTAGCCCTGCAGTTGCTGATGATCTCTCGCTCATGCGCGTGATCTTTCTCGCGGGTGAGTGCTCCCGTTTCTGCAGACACGCATTTGCCTTTAATTGTAAGGTAAGCTCGGGGCATGTGTTCAATCTGGGCAGTCTGTGTGCTTCGCCACCGATCTGGCACAAGCTTGATATCTCTTTGACGCTGCATCTTAACAACTTGCTTAACTGAAAGCTTTTGCATGTGCTTTAAATGGGTCGTATCATCCAAGAAGCATTTTCCCAGGCGCCAAATGTAGGAGCACGTTGGTACGCCGACCCTCCGATGTGGGTCTTTATCAACTCCAATCCACACGTGGCTCTGGAACTCCCCGAGGAAAAAATCACGCACGACTTCCAAAGGGAGTGGGGGCTCACTCGGACGAGGTTCCATTGTGGCAAGATACTGCAAACACAACTCATGCAACCATGGAGCATTGTATCTGGCGCGCTTGAACTGATATTTATAAAAGTGCTGCTTATATTGGGGCTCAAGCTCACTCCAGATTCTATCTGCACGTGCCGGTTCTGGGATATTCCAAAAGTTGTTATCCCACACAACATCGTGCGTGAGCTGTCCTGCGATCTGGGGATCATTGCATATATGCCGACACCATGGTACAATGAACAAAAATGAGATGTGATGCTGTTGGGTGAATGTGTCACTATAATAGATCGGTCGTGTGCCCACAACTCGGGTCTTCGCAACGAGGTATTCATATAGGTTCTTTCGTTTATGACTCGACATCCAGAGGTATCTCTTAACAAGCCTACGTACGCGTGACAAGACATGTGGATTCGATGAGGCAACTCGAAATGTGAAGGGTCGCCTCGGGAGCAAATTCCCTGTCTGCAGGAATCGTTCGAGCTTGGCTCGCGCTGTGTCTCTGCGCCTGCAGCAAGCGACCACATAGGCACCACACGCTGAGGATGTATGGGCCCAACAACGCATGTCGCCATAGCCTTGCATAGCATAGCCTGGTTCCAAAATCTCCCAGATACAAGCACAACCACGACTCATAGCCACGCGCGTACATGAGATGCTTAACACGGTGTGCTGAGAGCAGAAGCTTGCGTGCACACCATTCAAGCAAACATGGGAAGCTAGCCTGCGTGCGCAACATACGTTTCCGAAGACCTGCACTCTGGCGTATTCGTGATATGATATTAAGCGCACACTCCTTCTCCAAACTGAGGTACTCTCGAAACCGCGGGCAAGCACGGCTCCTCTCATTTTTAGACCCATATTTATTGGAGGGGAGGAGTTGAGTAGGAGGGTGTAATATTTCGATGGTGAGGCTCCCAAGTCGTAAAATGTTATTGATGCTACCATGGGCCAACGGTGTGGCCACGAGCGACCATATGGTACAACTACTCCACTGGGTATATCTTGGGCGATGAGTCTGGGACCCTGTCAAGGAAAATTGCATGGACGTGCCCCTTGAATCTAGCCACGCCTCCATGCTGGCTGCGCCCGTTGACGCGCCGGCTGTCCTGGGCCTGGCCCAAATACCAGGATCCGCACTCCAGGGATGCTGTGCAGTACAGCATACCCATCTTAGCCTGGCCCGGGGCCGGGCGCAGTACATCATGCACGAGATTCTGGAAGTAGCTCTTCCAAAATGGGCTCTCAAACTTTTGATACAATATCGTAGCTTGCAACTCGGGCTTACCAGCACGCAACGCCAGTCTAAGACAATGTTTCTCATTGTGGTACTTGGTAGCATGGTAATATAACTGGTAGCAACCGAGAAGGTAATATATATATATATATATATATATATACCACAAGTGTACATTGGCTCGTCCTTTAGCGAGCCAAATCCCGAGGGCGCATCGAACATTCCTGAGATGATCGATGTCGTATCTGCCCTGGAAACCTCGCAAGGACCAGTTGCCATAACTTCGAGCGAGTCGATGACATAACTCTCGTTCGGTTCCCCCGAGGGGAAGCTGGCAGAACACACATATGGCTCGGGCAACTTGGTACCCTCGATGCTGCTGTACTGCGTGCTGTCACTCAGTGTATGCAAGTCGGGGAAAGACGGCAGTGGCGCGTCTATACGCCACCTCCATAGGGAACGGAGAACACAACTAGATTGGTACTGTCTGCCTCGGGGGAGGGGCTGATTGGAGTGGAATAAAGTTGATTCGGGAATGTTCAACCGCTGTAAGACAAAATGTTGCCAGTTGCGGCTCTGTCGTCGATACGTTGGTGATGGGAACGACTTGTACCTATGCAGACGGCAGGAAACGAGTGGTATGATGTTTAACCACCCCCGCCCTGGAGAAGGCCACTGGGGGTGAGCTGCTGGTCTCGCAGCCGTTTGATGTATATACTGGTTTAGCAAAAGTGCAAGGCACACAAGGGGGAATCGGTACCTCGGAGTCGTTTCAACCCCTCTCTGAGACAGCCTTTTCCTCTCGTGGCGCACCTCTCGCGTGCGCAGCATAAACGAGCGCCAGGCTACGAGCTGGCAACTGGCAGGTTTACGTCGCCACCTTCTCGCTTCAGCCAAAACTCAAACATATAATGAGGATGGTGATAATACTGGACAAAGGCATGAGCACAACACATGTGAGCACCGTGCGTGCGACCACACATGCAATCAGGATGCAGCACATACAAAAGAGGAAGAGGAGGCGAAAAGCGTTGGCGAGCAAATGCAGCAGGTTCGAATCAAACTCGAACGCCGCAGTGAGGATAAGCTCGCCTGGCGGAGCGTAAAGGGAGGCAAACACTGTCCGAAAAAATCTGATGCTGCTGCTGCTGCTGCCGCCGCCGCCGCTGCTGCTGCTGCTGCTGCGCACCCGTAGCCTTCTGGGGGCCCTAGCTGAGCAGATCGTAAGGCAGGTGGTGAGCACTCGACCGTTCGCGGGCCTCGAAGGAAAGTAACCGCGCTTTAACCATTCTCGCTCGCGTGTTTGGGTGGAGACTTGCGTGCAAATATAAAAGAAGGAGAGAAAAAAAAACGGCATAACTATAAACTGCTGGCGCTCCGCACGGATTTCTTGGATCCGCGCTGCGCCGGGGGCGGCGCCCGAGGCGCCGCCCCGGGGGCCCAGCGCGGATCCAAGACATCCTCGCGGAGCGCCGAACGTTCATGTTTATGGCGCTTGTCTTTTTCGAAACTGGGCACCAACACCAACACAGGGGGTTGCCTTCACATGGAGAAGACGATCCTACATTCTGGTGGTTGTGGTAAAACTTCGTCCATCTAGGGAGCCCGAAGATTGCCACCATTACCGGGATTGGGATCATCTTCCCTCCGCCGATATGGGTGTTGGTGCTAGCCTCTAGGCCTCCGACCCAGGGCCTCGCATCCCCGAGTCGTTCTCCGACCACCCAGCCTAGGAAGCAACTCCTGGGAAACTAACTTTCGCAGGCTATTGAAGGGGCCATGATGCCGGACCAGCCCAGATTGGGCCCTGGATTGAGACATTGAGTCGGACTGAACTGGATTGGATGGGAGCGCGCGGAACTACGCGGAGATATGGCGGTTTCCGACTGCGCATATACCAGCGCCGTTGCTGAATTCGACGTTCCAGGACTGGCATCCTAATCCAGGGAGGGGCCCGCGAGCCCGAGGAGAATCAAACAGAAACTCGAGGCGCCTGTGCTCAGTCTTTTCGTCTGATGTTTCTTCTTCATATTATTATTATTAGTATTATTATTATTAGTATTATTACTATTATGAGTAGTAGTAGTAGTAGTAGTAGTATTAGTATTATTATGATTAGTATTATTATTATTAACATTATTATTATTATCATTATTATTATTATCATCATTATTATTAGTATTATTATTACTATTATTATTATTATATTGATTCGCCTTATTCTTCTTCTCCTTCTTCTTCGTCGTCTTCAGGCCAGCTCTGCGACCGTGGCAAGGCAGGGCGCCGAAGGTGCGAACCCGGCGGGGGCCCCCAGGCCAGCGGCTCGGAGGGCTGGGCCGGGTGGAGAGCGCGGCTGGCCGGCGGGGCCGAGCAGGGGCGGCAGGCAAGGGCAAGGGGGAGGGCGGGCACGGAGAGGGCCACAGGGCGAGGGCGTGCTGGGCGAGCGGAGGCCGCCCGAGCGGCACCGGCGCGGACTCGCGTCGGGCCAACGGGAGGGAGCCACGACAGGGGGTCTGCCGGCCCCGTACCCCAGGCCCCAGGCCATACCATGGGGGGGGGGGGGCGTCCAGCTTCGACGGGGGTGCGGCCGAACTGTTGTGCCTCGGGGGGCATCCCAGGGTGCCCCGCAGGTGCTGACCGGCCAAACTTTTCGGGCGGAGCTCGGGGGCGAAAGAGGCGAACAGTCGACCGCGCGATGAGCAGCGGGAGGGGCCGCGAAGCAGCTCGCGCAGCTCACACTTGCCGAGGCGCTGCCCCGCGCCTGGCGGCGCCCGCGCATCGAGGGAAGCGCCAGGCGGCGGGGCCGACCCGAGGGATGGGGTCGGAGGATCGCACCGCATCGGCGGCGAGGGGTTGGAGAAACTCGGGCTCCAGATCGAGTCGCTGCGCCAATGCCTCGGCGGCGAGCTGCTCGACCCCGTGTGGGCGGCCTGGAGCGACGGAGGGGGCACGGGCGCAGAAGGGATGAAGGGCCGAGGTTCAAGGATGGAGGTTCTTGAGCGTTTGGGGCCTTGTTGGGTATCCTGGGGCTCCCTCGAGATTCTGGCCAAGGCGCGCCCCGGGACAGGTCTGGGCGCAGATTTCAGGACCAGAAGAGAAGCCCGAAGAGACGCAGCGGGCGCGTGTGTGTGTGTGTGTACGATAACAGAAGCAGTCAGGTAGCGATTGGTCGTCGCTGTAAAGAGACGAGCGCCACTAACGTTGATACGTGGTTGTCCAGAAGGTACGCGTGAGTGCTACGCACTGCCGCACTGGCCTGTACCCAGTTAGGGGTTTGCAAAGGTGCGTGAAACGCTTGTTTCCCCATGCCTTCCCCTCTGTTTGTGAAACTGCCAACAAATGGTCTACGAGTTCACCGGCCCACGGTCAGGAATTGCGCGTAGCGCGTTGTGGCGGCGACATTGACGACAAGCAAGTCCCTGCGAGGGAATGGCGTGCCGCCCCGCTCCGCGTGTGCGAAACACACCCAAACGCTACCCAAGTGGGAGACGTCAAGGAGGAGGGAGGTGCGAGCAGGCTTGTTTGGACCTGGGTTAGCGTTGAGCCAAACTTATTCAGCTCCCTTGCCAGACACAGGCCGCAGGCGCAACGAGAGGTGCTTCAATCGACGAGGGCCCCAGAGGCCAACGGACGCGAAGCCCCGAGGTGCGACAGGGACCAACCGAAGACGTCTGAACGAGCCACGAGCACTGTGGGAGCGGGCCCGC